AGAGAGAGAGAGAGAAATGTGTATGGCGTGCGTTTGTGTGGAAATTTTTGAAGTAGGCTCTAATTTGATTGTTTAGAGCCTCGGCCCTATATAAACTTTTTCCTTCACTATTCACACAAAAAAGTTGGTGTTTGAAAGGCAGTTTCGCCCTCTTCCCCTACTAATTTGAAATGACATTCGCATCCTTTGATGATCAAAAGGGACTTGGAAATAATAATAGTAAAGGTTTCCATGCTAAAACCTTCATCCGGCCATCCAATTTAGATAAAATGAGTTATGAATCATTTAATCGATCCGATATCTCATAGTATTTTATTTTTAATTTTTTTCTACTAACTATATGAATATAAAATTTGGTAAATGCCATCACTTCAATGGGGCGTACCTAAATAAAATATTAAAAATATATTTTTAATAAAATATAATTGCCAAAATACCTCTGAAACTTTCAAAGGAATTTTACTCATTTTATTTTATTGAAAATATTTTTTATATATATATTTTATAGGTACGAGTTCAAGAGAGGATTGGATGCCCAAATTTTGGTGTCAAAATATTGTGTATAAAAAATTAAAAATAAAATAATATATAGGGTGACATTGTGATTGAGGCCATCTAAGTTGTCCATTTAGAATGGGCGGTTGGATAGACAGGAGTATAGAAGTTTTATGTTATAGGGTAAACATAGAAAGCTTGTCCAATAATAATTATGCTACCGTACTCATATATGAGTATTTTCTAAGGAAAAAACTTATATAGAGCCGAGGCTTTAAACAATTAAATTAGAGCCTACTTCAAAAATTTTACTAGAAGAGATTGTTTTGTTGCCCGAATATCCTCAAATTGATCATCTCGACATCAAGATGCATGTACATGAGAAAAAATATGGACTTCAAGTTTTGGAAATAGTACGTCGTGTAACCCATTTTTGGACTGTCAATTTTCAAGATTTTTAAGTTTTCATAGATCTACTCAATCTACACTATTTTTGAAATTTTAAATTTGATAATTAAATCAAAATATATATATTAAAGCTATCACAAGGTTTTCCTGTATTAAAACAACATTTCTCGACATTGTTTGAAGGTGTGCTTTAATTTAATTGTTTAGAGCCTCGACTCTATACAAACCACACCCTTTTCTTAATGTACTCAAATTTTTTTTGGACACTCGTATGCCATTGTTTTGTAATATAATTTTTTTGGAGAGTGTATACAATGAGACCATTTATATTCGAAACAGGGAGGTCACAATTACTTACAACCAGTGGTTTAAAAAACGGATCGGTGCCCCGGATAGAGCACCCCAAAAACCCATCCGGATCGGTGAATCGGCGATTCAGATCCGGAATCAGTCGAATCGATCGGATTAAGCTTTAAAAAAATTCCAAAAAGTTTATTAAAATTTATTATAAAATATTATTTTTTAGGAATCAAACAAGAAATAGGAGTACTCCATTAAGAATTTTCATTTTTTTACATCAATATACGAATATTGAGATGTTATTTTCCTATATGAATTATTGTTAACCCTTAAATTTATATCACACAAAAGAAGAAACATTGAATTATCATAGATGAAATATATAATCATACACGGACTACAATAAATTAATAATACAAACAAATTATTTTATTGTTATAACAAAAATAATACATTATAATACTTTATAACACAAATAAATAAATAAATAAAATATAAGATTTGATTATCAATGTATAATTATTATTTATAATATTATAACAACCATGATTCAAAAAATATTAAAAAACACTTCCATATCATACGATAAAAATTAAAATAAATTCCCTTATAAATGTGAATATTATGACATTATAACTTTATTCAAGAAAAGATTTTCACCTAATAATACAAACTAACAATGTCAAAATTCAAAAAAAAATATAAAGAAAAAATAAATACATATCATATATCCTAATATTTTGCAAAGTATAAGATATACGCTACAATTTTTATGTCAATAAGCGTTCATAAGGGGAAACTGTAATTAGTCCCACATCGTTCTCATTGAGAAGTAAATCTACCTCGAAAAGGTAGAGAATGCATTAAAATGACAAGAAAATTCAACTCGTGCGAGAGACATAACCAATGCTTTCCATGGGAAGTGATGACGTGGGGCTCCACCGTAACCACCCGTGTTATAGTAGCACACGCGTGCTTTCTCTTAAAACTCGGCGACTCTCTAGACACGGGTGGTTTCTCTTAAAACTCTGCGACTCTTTCTAGACAAGGGCGTTTTTGCGTCTTTTACGTGAACCGACACGGGGTGTCCAAAAATCGTGTCGAAATTTTGATAGCTTAGTTGTGTCACAAAGTTCGAAAAAAAAAATTTTGAACCTTGAGCTTGGTCTATAAAATAAATGCAGCCACCCAATTTTACATCCAATGGTTAAGATTTGTTGTGACCACTTTGTACTAAAGGTAAATGTCTCATTATATATTTTCCCTTTTTTTTTAGTAAATGGCTATTTTTATAATTATGAGAGTAGAATATATATTTTTATAAGAAAATAATAGTATTTATTGGTGATTAAGAAACAATCATTGCTTCATGTGAGTGATGCCATTTTCTACTGTAGGTAATAAATGTTCTTTCTATCAAGAATTTTCAATTTTATCCCTATTTAATTACTTAAAATACATATAGATAAAAAAATTATAATTTAGTGGAGTAAGGGTATTGAGTGTCCAAAAATATCAAGTAAATCTAATATATATGAGTACCCTAACACAAGCTTAAAAATAAACATTAAGTAAATCTAGTATATACGAATACCATAACATAAGCCTAGAAATAAGCAAAGCTTAATTTTATGGTGACTGGTACACGCTTGATTGTATGCATTTTGACTGCAAATACGGCGGGCAGGCAGGGCTTCGGTTCGGCTAGTCTATGGCCCGGCCCTTGGCCTTCATCCAGGTCTAGTCTATGGCCCGGCCCTGCTCAGCTTGGCCCTGGCCCATCCCGTTGCCAACCCTAGGCTTAGCTAAACGGATCGGCTGGAAGGAGCAATTTACATTGGGGTGTAGTTTGTACAGGGCCGAGGCTCTAAACAATCAAAATAAAGCTGACCTTCAAATAATGTTGAAAGATGTTGTTTCAATATTGGGATCTTTGTGATGATTTGAAAATTTACTTATATCTCCCATTATAAAATTTAAAACTTCAGAAGTAGCGTAGATCGAGCAGAACTATGAATATTTGAAAGTCTTGAAGATCAAAAAATGCATTACAAAATACACTATTTTTTAGACTTGAAATCCATTTGTTCCATATCGATACATTTTCAGATCGAGATAATCAATTTCAGGATTTTTAAATTTTAAAAAAAATCTCTTTTAATGGATTTTTAAGGTGCGTCCTAAAATGATTGTTTAGAGCCTGGCCTTTACATAAGTATTTTCCTTTACATTTTGCTTCAAGTGAATCACTTAATCTCTTTAAAGAAAAAAAAAATAAAAAAAAATTTCCCCATAAATGGTCATTGTCAAATTTGTAAAGGGTAACATATGGCTTATCCCTAAAAAGGGACCATATCCTTATCCTAGAAGAGGAGCCCACGATCCCAACGACACGTGGCACTGCCAGATTAGATTCTCCGAGAAGCTTCTCGAAAATTAACGGAGAAAGAAGTGAATAGACGTTTTCTCGTGCTTCTGGAGAGAGAAAGAAGAGAGAGAAAGTAAGTAAAAGAAATAGTCAGAGAGAGAAAAGTGGAAAATAGAGAAAAAAAAACAACTATTACGAGAAAAAATAGGGAGGGAAAATACTTAAAACACACACAAAAGTCAGAGAGAAAGAAAAAAAGGAGAAATAGAAGTAAAATATGAAAAATAATCAGAGAGAATCGATAGAGAGAAAGTGCTAAAAACGCAGGCAATAATAGAGAGAGAAAGTAAAATAAAAGAAATATTTTGAGAGAGAATAACAGAGGCCGTACTAAAAGAAACAATGAGGGAAAGTATGAAACGCCACCAATACTTCGGGAGAGGAAGAGGGTTTAGACTTCATAGGGATAAAAAAATAAAAAAATAAAAAAATAAAAAAATGGTTGTTACAAAGAAAAAGAAAGAAAATAAACGAATAAAGTTCTAAAAATTATTAACCCAGATAGAATCACTCGATCCAACTCAAAAATCAGTAAGGTCACAGTGGTTCTCATCATGGAACCGGCCGATGTTTCTTTGAAATCGATCAATTCCCTATTATCGGCCAATTCCCTTAGCCCTATCCTTATTTTATTACTTTTTACTTTCTTATATTTTTTAATTTGGTTCCGTCAATTGAATTGTGGATCGTATACCCCCAAACCACAAATAGAGACCATTTTTGGAACCGCCAAACGGGGGTTACTAGATCATTTTTAAACTATTAAAAAGAGGGATGGTCAAATAAAAAGGAAAAGAATATATGAAGGTGAGATCTTAGACAATCAAATGGAGGCGCACAACAAATATTCATTAGAAAATATTGTTTTGATATTGAAAAACCTTCAATTCAATCATTTCGACCTATTGACAAGACAAAAAATATATTTAAAATCTTTGAAATAATGTATCTGATAATATATTATTTAAACCATCAATTTTTTAAGATTTTAAAACATTCATAGATCTACTCGACCTACTCTCTTTTTAACTTTAAATTTTATAATTAAATATAAAAATAAATTTTTAAACCATTATAAATATTTTTAATACTAAAACAATATGATTCAGCACCATATACAGTTGATACCTACTTTGATTGCTAAGGCCTCAGCCTTACACAAACCCCACCCACTAAAAATGAGCGAGGAAGAAGTTTTAGAGAGAGAAACTAAATTAAAAAAATTTAAGAGTGAGGAAATGGATGCATTAGGTTGATAGAGAAAGAGGAGAGAGAAAGTACCAAAATAAAAGCAACAGTAATTAAGAGAGAGAAAGAGGAGTGAGAAAGTAATATAAAAAAAAGGAATAGAGGCTTCTGGCGTTATCTTTCCATTAAGAATGATACCCTTTCCTTCCCTTCCTCTTTTCCTCCTATTCTTTTTCCTCGCGATTTAAAGACCCCAGGAACCTTCTAGAATAAACCCTTTCTGCTTTCTCCTTTTGCACCCTCTTTCATTTTCCCGGCGAGTTCTGCTGCTGATTCCCGTCGCTTCCCGGCGATCTGAGTGATTTTCCGGCCGGAAACGATGTACCATTCATCTGGCTCGGTTTTGAAGGAGATGATCCTTATTTTTAAGGAAAATTCGAGAAGATAGTTTTCTTTGGTGGTTTTCTGAGTATTTTCTTAGAGTTTTACGGAGGGAATTCGGTTGAAGAACAATATTTACCTCCAAATCAACTGGTTTCCATTGAAAACAGAGAGATTTAATGGCTTCATTAATGATAATTTTGGTAAGTATTTTACAGTTGTGTTTTGTGGTGAAATGATGGAAATCAGGTAATTTCTCGTAAAATAATTACAGTTTTTGTGAAATAATAATTTTTTTTGCAGTTGTTTCGGAAAATGATGGAAATTGGATCTTTTTTTCTTTCTTTTTTTGAGAAATAAGTGGAATTTGATCTAAATTTTGTATCATACATTTGTGCTTTTTTTTTTTTTTCTCCATGTTTTTGTTTGATTGATTCATAGGCAGGTATAATTACTTTTGATTAATCGTAATTTTTAGATTTTTTCTCGTATTTGTATGGTGAATCCTTGTTTAATAGAAGTATTATCTTTATTAGTGATTAAATTGATAATTTTTTGTTTCCTGTCTTGTAAGATACACAGAAGTTTTATTCATAATCAGCTTAGATTAGAGACTGATTCCTTGATTATTCACTGATTAGTGGCCGCTTTTTCATGTTTATGAAGCTTCGAAAAAACTAAAAATTCTCCATTTGTGTATATATATTTTGAATGTTAAAACTCTCCTATTCATTAGAAAATAGAGAGTAACAGATGCAATTATTCAAAAAACCAGGGGCAATTAAGTTTTCGTCCTTCTTTACTCTGGTAATTTAGGCCATTAATAGTTGATTCATCTGGCGTTCAGAGGCATTAAAAGGAAAATATATATATATAGAGAAAAAGAGCCTTGTGATTTGAATTTAATACTAACACAGAAACTGATGATTTCAATGCAAAACATCTCTTTCTGTCAAAGGACCCCAAATAGGCCTTAATCTCCCCAAGTTTTGTTACTCAATACCTTCAAGTCTCCCTACATAACTTCTGATTCAGGTCTTCTTACAGATTTGATGCCTCTTCCTGATCTTCTCCATTAGCGAAGAGCTCGAGATCTCTCCTTGAGTTCACTTCAAAATTGAAGCCTTTCCCTCACTGTAAAAACGCATCAATGGCTCCTCCTGCAGGGGAGCATTCGACCATGGTGGGGACCTCCGAAGCCCAACGATCTCTCCCGACACCATTTCTCACAAAGACCTACCAATTGGTGGATGACCCAACTGTTGACGATGTGATTTCATGGAATGAAGATGGCTCTACATTCATTGTTTGGAGACCAGCTGAATTTGCTAGAGATCTTCTTCCAAAATATTTCAAGCACAACAATTTCTCCAGTTTCGTACGCCAGCTTAATACATATGTAAGTCACCTACAATAGAAGGAATTTGGGCTAATTTGGGTTTGTGGTTTTTATGTGGAGTTTTGTTTGAATTTTTTGGTTTGGTGATCCTTTGTTTTGAATTGGGGTGAGAAAAGCCATGCTCTGATTTCTCCCATTTTTGGCCCAAGAATATCAACAAATGACTTCTCTGGTTTCTCTGCTTTTTATGGGTGTTTTATATACAAATATTACTGTATATTAGGTTTTGATTTTTTTATATACAAGTTTTATTGCGTGTAAAATTTGTGCTAATTTGGGTTGGGTGATTTTTACTCGTATTTTTTTTTTGATTGGTGGTGCTTCCTTTTGATTTGGGAAAAAAACCATGCTGTGATTTCGCCAATTGTTGGCCTACTTCTCAGTTTTCTCTGGTTTTTTGGATTTAAATACAAGTTTCTTGCCAGTGGTTTTTGTTCAGAATGGTTAACCATCAGCTTGTATATTACCCAAATTTTCTTACATATAAAATTTTGAGTTTCTATATACTAGTTTTATTGAACATAAAATTTGTCTAACTTGGGTTGGTGATTTTTGTATGAACTTCTGTTTGAAAGTCTCCGGATTGGTCATGTTTGTTTCGATTCGAAGTTTTGGGTTTTGATACAGGAGAAAAGCATGCATTATTTCCCGATTTTTTGCCCAAATTTTCCAAGAAATTGTTTCCTGTTTTCTGTTTTTTTTAATAAAAAATTGGGGGTGTTTATTTTTTATTTTGGGGCCTCAATATTTTAGACGCAACAATTCTAGGAATTATATTTATCATGGGAAGATAAATGTAACACTTTTCTTTATGTTATTTGGTATTGGTCCATTGTTGAGCTGGAATGGTGGACGGTTCTTCACCTGCTTCCACAATTTCAGTACGCGTACCCCAAATTTCTTTACTTTTCCCACCTTGACAAATTTTATGCATCCGCCGCTGTTTCCTTAATACTTTTTCAAGGTGGAATGAACGTCTATTTTAGACAGGGAAAAAGTTTGTATAAGTGCGAGGTTCTAAACAATCCCAATTAGGGCACACCTCAAAAATTTATATTTTTCGACACCATTTGAAGATGTGTTTTATGTTATTGTTTAGAGCATGGGCTCTATACATAACGCACCATTTAGATTCATGATTTTTAATGTATATGGCTGTATCTCATGATCCATATTTCCACCCCTGTTTTGTGTGGCAATACTACTCTGTGCAGACAACTACACGGTTAGAAAAATGGGGGTGAATAAGACTTGATTTCCTTTCTTCATTTTTTATTCCATGAAAAAGTCTTGGTTTCGTTTTTCTGTATGAAAGAGATTGTTGTGTGCTCAGACTGTTGGATTAGGAGTGGCAATGGGCTGAGTGAGGGTGGCTCAGTCAGCCTGGCCCTGAAAATCTAGGTCCTGGGCTATTAAATGTGGCCCAAGTGCTTGGGACACCGCTGCTCGACCACGGGTCCGAGGGTAGGGCTGGGTAGGGCCTATTTTTTTTATTGTATCTTCGTTTGTGTTTTTGGGTTTTTCTTTCTTCTGTTTTTTTCAGTTAAGGTCAGGTTGAGCTTGGCCCAATCCTATGAGGACTAGGGCCACGCTAGAGCCAAGGGTAGCCCGGGCCGTTGCCACCCCTATGTTTGATCCCATGTCTTATTGCACTTATTGGAGAAGTAGAAAGCTCGAGCTTTTCTCTAATCTAAAGAGTTGTTTGAATGTGAAAATGAAATTAGGGCTTTCGAAAGATTGTGCCTGATCGATGGGAATTTGCCAACGACTGTTTCCGGAGGGGAGAGAAGAGACTGCTATGTGAGATCCACCGCCGGAAGAACCCTAGTCCAGCGACTACAGTACCGATTCAGGGAAATCACCCCATGTCTCCGACAAATTCTGGCGATGAGCAGGTTCTCTCCTCTAACTCCTCTCCGGCCCCTAGAGAAATTATCACTGCTGCTAATTGCACGGCTGCCGAGTTAATCGACGAGAATGAGAGGCTAAGAAAAGCGAACACACAATTAAATCAGGAGCTAACGCAGATGAAGACACTCTGTAATAAGATTTTTGTCTTGATGGCCGGATATGCTGGAAATCAGCAGGAAAATGGCATTGCAGCCGGGAAGTTGCTCGACTTTTGGTCCGAGAAGGGGCTTCCTGGTGATGCTGATATGGCAGTTGCCAATGTAGCAGTCGATGGTGCTGACATGGTGGTGGAGGAAGTAAAGGTGGAGGACTCAAGCCCGAGGTTGTTTGGGGTGCCAATAGGGGTGAAGAGGGCAAGGGAGGAGACAGACGGTGGAGATGAGGGCGAGGAGGGCATAGGCACACGAGGCCCAGTGCCAGGGGGAGGCACACAAGGCCCAATGCCGGATGCGGTGAAGGAGGAGCCTTTGGATCCGGGGGCAGAGTGCCAGGACACCCCTTGGCTCAAGTTCAGCTGCCGGCCTAACCAGAGAGTCTGCAATTGATTTGTTCCGCAGGCCAAAGCACGAGAAGTCTGGGGATTTTGACATGGTTCTCTGATTAACCCCAGAGCTTCTAGCCTCTGGTCATATACTATATATCCATGAAAGGTTTGGATGAGAAGCGGTTTCTTTATCTTGGAAAACCAAGAGAGAGAACAGGCAGGCTTTTGGTGCAGGGTTTAGAAAAAATATTGCAGAGGGAGGATTTCATTTTAACTCTCTCTCTCTCTCTAACCTGCATACAGGTGCTTTTCACCCCTTTTTACCTCTTTCCATGGAAAGACTAAGGTGTTCATGTATATATGAGCATGTCTAATATTTAACATCCATAAATATAATTTATTTGTAGTCCCTTAATACTCTCTCTTTAACAGAAACAATCTCTTTATATATATATATATAGAAATCCATGTCAGCTCATAGGCTCATGGAACAGTGTAAACTTAATAGCCTAACCTAGATTGAATATGAACCGATCCAATGATCATAATTATATATATAAAAAAGCTCCTGGCAGCTCATGGGTTTATGGAACAGTATAAATCTAATGGTTTGATCTAGATTGAATTTGAATTGATTAAATGGTTATATTTCGTAATTGAATTTTAATGTTTTTTTATAAATCTACATTATGTGAAATTTGAAATGTCTATTTTCAAGAATTGTTGAATCTAATAAAAATATCAAAAAAATGTATAAATTAAATTAACTAAAATACTTTTAAAAAGTTCTAAAGGTATTTTGATTAATTTATTTTATGATAATTATTTTTTTAATATTTATATTACGTACATCTTGATGAGAAAAATTTATGTTTCAAATTTCATGATATTTAAATTTATATAAAAAATATTAAAATTATATTATCAATATACAGTCTTGATCATCAGATCGATCTAGATTCAATCTAAACCGTTAAATTTACATTGTTTTATGAATCCGTGAACTCACCTTTAACATCTTTCATATATATATATATATATATATATATATATATATATATAATAACCTAANATAGTAGTAGTACGACAGATAGTAGACGTAGA